TCCTGCAGCCCAGGGATCAAGGAGTAATTCCAGCTTTCAAGTCTTCTCACTTAAGAAATACATTCTGCAAGGCTACAGCTGCCAAAGATAATGATTCCTCTGATGGATCTGGGCAAAGTAAATTGAAAACCTTCTGGAAAGGATTCACTATTCTAGATGCCACGAAGAGCACTGGTGATTCATGGGAAGAGGTAAAAAATCAACATTAATAGGCATTTGAAAGAAGTTGCTTCCAATCCTCAAGGATGACTGAGAGGTTCAAGCCTTGAGTGGAGGAAATCATCAGAGATGTGGTGGAAACAGCAAGAGAAGCAGAGTCAGAGGTGGAGCCTGCAGAGGTGAGTAACTGCTGGCCGCTCGGGATGGAACCTGAACGGATGAGGAACTGCTTCTCATGTAAGAGCAAACAAAGTTTTTTCCTTGAGTTACAATCTTCTTCAGGTGAAGAAGCTAGCAACATTGTTGAAATGACAACAAAAGATTTAGATTTTAGAATATTCCATAAAGTTAGCTGATCAGTAACAGGGGTTGGGAGAACTGACTCCAATTCTGAAAGATGTTCAACTGTGGGTAAATGCTACCAAACAGCACTGTACACTACAGAGAGAGCTTCTGTAAAAGGAAGAGTCAATCTATGCAGCAAACTTCACTGTTGTCTTATTTTAAGAAAGCCACCCCCACCTTCAACAACCACCACCCTGGTCAGCCTCCACCACCCTTTTTAACCTGAGGCAAGGCCATCTACCAGCAAAAATATGAGACTCACTGAATGTGCAAATAAATTATTTTGGCAATGAATTATTTTTAGATTAAGGTATACACACTTTTTAGACATAATACTACTGGAAACTTACCAGACTACGGTACAGTGTAACTTTTATATGCACTGGGAGGCCAAAAGCTCAGTGTGACTTATTACAATATCTGCTTTACTGTGGTCTGTAACCAAACCCACAGCACCACCACGGTGTGCCTGCACTTCCATATTCTAAACGCATAAAATGAGGTTCAAGAGGTTAAAATTTAACAATTAACCCAAGTCGATCGGAATTAAAACACATGTGTACCTGTTTGCAGAGCCAGGCTCTTCCATGACGAGACGTCTCCTAATGGCTAACAGGGCAGAGTTTCCAGACTGCAGGACTACGTAGAGAGTAAAGCCTCTCACTGAAGCTTCAGTCACTGACTAGCAGGAAATGAAACGCTGCCACCAAAGTCCTATTTCACATCGATTATCCCTCACAGTCAACAGGCTTCCCCCGTGTGCACCATCATTAAAGCCTCTCATGAGGATTTTTTCTCAAAGTTTTTGCAAAAGCCCACAGTTCAACTCCATGTATGAAAATTATTTCAAATAGTCTCCTGTTAATGACTTTTTTTTTTTGAGACATGTGATGTAGGTTTGATACTTAGACTAGGTCATTTAAACAATTCCCATAGAGAGCTAAATGCCATGTTTAACTTTCACTCCCAACTGCTTAACAGTGATTTCTAAATCACACTATCATAAGAAAGCCAGTGATACTCACCAATAACCCTATTGAAGTTAAGCTAATATTAAGTTCTTGGTTATGAAGACCAAAGCTACCTGCAACACCTACAACTATCTGCAGGCAGGTGCAAGGCATTGTTGGTAGAAAATCTGTCACAACCAGCTGAAGACACTGGAATGCAGTTCGGATCAAGGATTCGCTGAAAAGGTAAAAGAAATGGATACGGATTAAAATGCAACTATAAAAGCACATATCTTACGATAATTTGAATCAAGTAAAATGCTTCCAATTAAAACAAGAAAACCCACTATACCCCAGAATTGCATTAATGTTACCATTCAATAAAAAAAGAAAAACAAACAACAAGAAAACCTCTAAAATGCATCACAGTACTTCAGTATTTAGATAAATGTAAAAAAGATACATTAAGAAATAAAAATAGGTTAACAAAGGAAACGAAAACACATACTAACACCATATTATTTCTATTTCTATTTGCAACCAAAGAAAACTGAACCAACGAATGGGAAGGGGAAACTGGCCGCAGTTCCGTTCCCCACCGTATTCCCAGGACTACGCGGTGCCTCACACACATCGATGCACTCAGCTTAATGCACGGAATGAGCTCTTTCGTTCTTAACTCAGAAAATGAAAATGACAGCTAGCTCCCCCACAGGGCATGTCCATACTGTATCTCACTCAGATCATCAAAGGAATACAAAATTCTACAACTTGTTTGTGAGACAAAAGTACATTTTGAATTTCAAACAAAGAGAGTATTTGGTTTTGTAAAAAAATTCTGGTGGTAAAAAATAATAGTGAAAATGGCAATGACAACAGCTCACATTACTGAGTACTCAGCGTTTCATACACTTTCTAAGTATTTTACATGCACTAATTCATTTCATTCTTATTACAAATGTCCTCTTTTGCTCATTGCATTTTAGGTTGAAAGAAGAAACTTAAGTTTGCTCTAAAGTTGATCTCTTGTCACTTTAATCATCTCAGTATTCTACTCTACTTAAGAAAACTTGTTACTGCAAGTACTGAAGAACAATTAATTTCCCTAATTGTCTCATGCATATAAAACCCCTAGCCATCAAAGCAAGACAGTGTGAGTCTTGCTGTAGAATTACAAATTATCCAACGTCTGCACATCTCCCAGTGCACACCTGCCATACAGACACACAGCCACACCCCCAGCCACTGCTGCTGGCTGCACGGCAACTGAAACTATGCCAATTATTTTACACACTGAACACTATATAAACACAGAAAAGGTACAGTGACAATACAGTATTGTACTCTACGGGCCACTGTCATACATCACCGTAGTACATGACTGCACTTCTGTACTAGGATTATACCACCAGGGCAGGAGGTATTTTGCTATGTAATCAGAATAACCAGCAAGCATAGTATTTGGAATGCATTAAGCAAAGGAGAAATGTTTAATAAATAAAGAAATTAATAAAGTCATTTCAAGCTATTTCTTAGATTTCCCAATATATATAGGCAAGTTAAGCTCTAAACACTATTTCACATCATTCTCTTTAGGGAAACTAAACCCAGTCTTTTGATATGTCATAAAATTTGTTAGGTTGATTCGTTTATCTCATTATAACAGCTCTGTATTTTTGGGCTGGGCGCAGTGGCTCACGCCTGTAATCTCAGCACTCTGGGAAGCTGAGGCAGGTGGATCACTTGAGTTCCCGAGTTTGAGACCAGCCTAAGCAAAAGCAAGACTCCATCTCTAAAAATACTAGTCAGGCATTGTGGTGGGCACCTGTAAGTCCCAGCTACTTGGGAGGCTGAGGCAAGAGAATCACTTGAGCCCAAGAGCTTGAGGTTACTGTGAGCTAAGATTCCATGAAACTCTACCAAGGGCAACAAAGTGAGACTCTGTCTCTAATAAAACCTTGTATTTTTGGATGTCAAATAAATACAATTTTCCCATCCTTCCAAAACAAAGATAGGTAAAAGAAGATAATCCTTAAAAATTCCTGATAGTCACTTGAGGGTAGAGTTAAGAAAAAGTATTATAGGTCTTAGACTTCAGCAGGAAGAGCATACATAAAAAATTACCACTACTGTAAGATTTTAGGATGGACTGATTCCCTTTCTACCTCTACCTTTTTAGTATTAATTTTATACACTTACCCTTGGTCATTTCTGATCGCTCCCATGACTCCGAGCACTAACGGCCACCCAGGGCCGAGACTGTCTCCCTGGCTCTGCAGAATCTGCAGCACACATTCCAGCTGCTTGAGTCGAATATCTGGGTGGTTGATATTGGACATTTCCTTCAATGGGTTCAATAAAAGCAACTGCAGCCTCTGCAAAGGAGGCAAAAAACTCATTAGGAAAAAAAGTATAAAAAGACAGGAATGCTTTGCTACTGCTTTTTAAGTTTAAATTTACTCAGACTAATATGATAAATTAGAAATTTTTCTACTGAAACAGACATCAAATGTGAGTTCTCGCTAACAATAACCATTAAAGGTTTATTTTGTCATTTATCTCTATTTTCAAATAGAAGAAAAAAATCAGTCTTCAAGAAATTAGATTTGGGGTGGGGTAAATGGGTAAAGTAATTATCTTACTTTAAAAGATACTGACTGATTACAGGCTCAGCATCCTTGGCACAGTGGTTACCGCACCAGCCACATATACTAAGGCTGGCAGGTTTGAGGTCTGCCCGAGCCAGCTAAACAACAATGACAACTGCAACAGAAAATAGCTGGGTGTTGTGGCGGGTGCCTGTAGTCCCAGCTACTTGGGAGGCTGAGGCAAGAGAATCACTTAAGCCCAAGAGTTTGAGGTTGTTGCTGCTGTGACACCATGGCACTCTACCAGGGCGACAAAGTGAGACTGTCTCAAAAAAAAAAAAGATACTGATTACAGACCCATGTATATTTCACTGAAGGAATTATATCTCTATCTGTACTGGAGAGACAAAACAATCCTCAGTTTCTAAAATCATCCTTAATGTATACCATGTGAATTTAAATTTGAAATCCTCAAGTGTGATATAACAATAGAAGCTATAATACTACTAAAAAAGGAGTAAGCACAGATGTTAACAAAGATGACACAGAACTACAAAATCTGTTGGAGAATTAAAAAAGAAAAAGCCTTCTGGCCAGGCATGGTGGCTCATGTATGCAATCCCAGTGCTTTGGGAGGCAGAGCTATGAGGATTACTTAAAGCCAGGAGTTCATGATCAGCTGGGACAACAGTGAGTGAGACCTTATCTCTCAAAAAATGAAAAGGTTAGCTGGGCATGGTGGTATGCCCTGTAACGCTAGTTACTTGGGAGGTTGATGCAGGAGGACTGCTGAGCCTAGGAGTCTGGGAATGCAGTGAGCTACAACTGTGCCACTGAACTCTAGCCTGGGTCACAGAGCAACACCTTGTCTCTAAAAAAATAAAATAAAATAACATAAGAATACTCTGTTCTATCCCTTTCAGCATCTCAAAGCATTTGCTTCATTTTTAACTTTCTTCTTTCCAAGGATTCATTTATTTGGTTTACTGAATAAACATCTGTTAAGTTCTCAGTATGTGCCAAGTATTAAACTGGACATTGAGGATATTAAAATAAATGAAAAGTGTTTTCTTTTCAAAAAAATTAAACTGTAGGGCAGCGCCCATAGCTCAAAGGAGAGAGTGCCGGCCCCATATGCCAGAGGTGGCAGGTTCAAACCCAGCCCTGGCCAAAAATTGCAAAAAAAATTAAACTGCACTACGAAAAACTACGAACTCAGTAAAAGCTAAGCTCTGTAAGCTCTGTGTCAGCTCCCCTTTCTTGTCCTTCATTCATTCTGGGAGCTGAACTTAAGGATGACATGTGAGCTAGACCTGTGGAATACAGCTAGAATCCCACAAAGTGATGAGGGCCATGGGGACAGTTACTGATGCCACATTTCTGCTCAGTCCAGAAATACAATTCTGGTAGACTTTTTAAAAATGCGTGTAAGATATATATGAATGATAAAGTTAGGATAAAGAATTCATGACAAAGTAAGCTGTAAGCATAAGATAACTTTAAATTATTAAAAACAAACACCCTTTTCCTTGTGCGTGCCTTTCCTGACACTTGTTTTCTCCTCATATAAGGGCAGGGAGAGGAATAAACTCAGAGGCCACTAAGGACCAAAGCAAAAGAGGCCGTGAAACAACCCTCGGCACTGCCTGGAGAGAGAGACACCTGCAGACCAAGAGCCCAATCCCAGCTCCTTTAATCAGTGCAGTGTCACTTACAAGGTGTTTAAAATGACAACCCTAAAAATCTCACACCTTCTGTAAGGGATCCAGGATCTACATATAAAATAGAATAATACGTTTAAAAAAACACTACCAGAGTATCACCCACTTGATATATAAAGAAAAATCATCTATTTGGATGATTTTATATTAAGGATAATTTTATATTAAACATTCTTTTAAAATAATGAGATAAGGGTTTTTTTTGTTTTTGTTTTTACCTGGTTTTGTGAAAGCGGAGGATCGTGGTTAAATGTTAATCCTGCTTTAATCAGGGAAGTTAAAGCTTCTGCTCCCCACTCTCTCATTCGGGAGTTTGGGTGCTGGCACACCTGAAGTACAGACAGTTAACCAAATCAAACGCTGAATCGTTAGAGCTAAGAATCACACAACAGTTCAAGAAAAGGAACATGGAAACTTTGTTTTCGGTTCTTTTCACATTTTAAAAGTTTTATCTGATGTTTAATAAGGGCTGGAGAAAAAATTATATCTAAAATGTGAGTCAGCTTACCTTCTGAATAGGACCAAGAGGAAGCAGCAGAGAACAAAAGAGAGGAAGCCAAGTGAAGTTAGAGAAAAGTAAACGAAGTGTCAGCACAGCAGAGAAGCTGGGAACGTTCCCGTTAAAGGGACCCTCATGAGCAATGGACTAAACTTAAAACACTAACTTTACTTGTTGACAAGAGATGACACCATCCAATAATGAAATCTACATCCATCCTTCAATCATTCATAAAAATAATCCCCCCAAAATGAAAAAACTCTCGCATCCATCTGTTTTTTACCTAAGAATAATGATGTTATCAAGTTTCTAGAATAACATGAAATGACCATGGTGACCTAACCCCAAGCTGTGCAAGCCCTGTACAAATAAATGACAGGAGCTGCCATTATTCAGCAGCAGCCGATTACTAAGAATCACCCAATTTGGATACAAGGCAGTGGAAATTCAGGTAAGATTCTCCAGCACTGTCTATAATCAGTGATACCACCTAGGTATTCCCTCTGTAGAAAGCTATTTCATAACCACAGCGAAGGCCGTGAGTTTGTGGTATTCACACCAACGCTCACCCCCAGCTGTCCCGATGTTTCAGAACTGCCTGAAACTCAGGGGGACCAACAGACCGTATGTAGAATAGGTCCCAAGCTAACAGCTGATTTCACGGGTATTTCTCACCTTCAAGTTTCACCCGTTTCCAGCCATTAAAAGCACTCCACTCCTTCACCAAATTAGTTACTACACAACTTTAATCCTTCATAAAATACATAGGCAAGTGCAGGATCAGGAAAGAAAAAGACTGTTAATGCTGATGTTTTCAATGGGCATCTGAAATCATCAAAAGTTCATGTCTATTAAAAAATTATAATTTTAAGAAAGAGATTTTACCTCAAGCAGATGGCCAGTTAGAGGTCTCCATAAAATTTCTATTCGGTGCATATTAACTAGACCAGTTTCTAACAATTTGGCAACAGCAAAAAGAGATGGTTCCTAAGAAGAAAACACATTGCACACTCAGTACTCTGACTGAAAATAAAACAGAACATTCTGAAGAGCATGAATAAAAATAAAGCATGATGAGTTAATATGAAGTTAGTAATAAATATGACAAAATGTCAGATATCATGAAACAAGTCTTCTTGCCACCCTTAAGTATCCAGAATAGCTCCTAACTGAAAACTTTGGTTGGGAAGAGAATGTTTAACAGGGAAAAGATGAAGATCCAGAAACTATACTAGAAG